AACATACCTCAACCTCAAAGACAGACATTACCTCAGAGTAAAGGGTTGGGGAAAGGTTTCCCAATCAAATGGACCTAAGAAACAAGCAGGTGTGGCTATCCTAATATCTAACCAATTAATTTCAAACTAAAATCAATCAGAAGAGATGGAAAAAGAAACTTTATACTCATAACAGGAACAAATCATCAAGATGAAGTCTCAATCCTGAATATATATGCCCCTAATATAAAAGCATTCACATATGTAAAAGATACATTACTAGAACTCAAATCAAACATCAAACCCCACACACTGAGATTTCAACACTCCTCTATCCACAATGGACAGGTCAACCAGACAGAAACTTAACAGAGAAATAAGAAAACTAACAGATGTAATGAATCAAATGGACTTGACATCTATAGAACATTCCACCCAAACAGGAAAGAATATATACTTTCTTCTCAGCACCTCATAGAACCTTCTCAAAAATTGATCACATACTCTGTAACAGATACATCCACAGATACAAAAAAGAAAAATGGAGGAACTACCTGTGTCTTATCGGATCACCATGGAGTAAAGTTAGAATTTAACAACAATACTACCCCTAGAAAGCATACAAACTCATGGAAACTAAACAGTCAATTACTGAACCACCCCTGGGTCAAGGAAGAAATAAAGAAAAAAATTAAAGTCTTCCTTGAATTCAACAAGAATGAAGACACAGCATACCCAAATCTATGGGACACTGTGAAAGCAATACTAAGTGGAAAGTTCATAGCACTAAGTGTTCACATAAAGAAAATGGAGAAAGCTCACATTAGAGACTTAACAACACACCTGAAAGCTCTAGAAAAAAAAAAGAAGCAGACTCATCCAGGAGGAGTAGAAGATTGGAAATAATCAAACTAAGGGCTGAAATCAACAAAATAGAAACACAGAAATCAATTCGAAGAATCAATGAAACAAAGAGCTGCTTCTTTGAGAAAATCAAGAAGACTGACAAATCCGTATCCAAACTAATCAAAAGGCAGAGAAAGAACACCCAAATGAATGAAATCAGAATTGAAAAGGGGACATAACAACAGACACTGAGAAAATTCAGAGAATCATTAGTTCTTACTTCAAAAACCTGTACTCCACAAAATTAGAAAATGTAAAAGAAAAGGACAATTTTTTAGATAGATACCACACATCAAAATTAAATCAGGACCAGGTGAGCAATTTAAATAGACCTATAAGTCATAAGGAAATAGAAGCTGTCATCAAAAACCTCCCAAATAAAAAAGCCCGGGGCCAGATGGTTTTAGTACAGAATTCTACCAGAACTTCCAAGAAGAGCTAATACCTATACTCCTCAATGTCTTCCACATAATAGAAACAGAAGAGTCATTGCCAAACTCTTCTTATAAAACTACAGTTACCCTGACAGCAAAACTGCACAGAGACTCAACCAAGAAAGAGAATTAAAGAGCAATATCACTCATGAACATTGATGCAAAAATTCTCAATAAAATACTGGCACACCGAATCCAAGAACACATTAAAATAATCATCCATTATGATCAAATAGACTTCATCCCAGAGATGCAGGGCTGGTTCAACATATGAAAATCTATCAATGTAATCTATCATATAAATAAACTGAAAGTAAAAACCATATGATCACTTCATTAGATGCCGAAAAAGCATTTGACAAAATTCAACACCCCTTTTATGATAAAGGTCTTGGAGAGATAGGGATACAAGGATTATATCTAAATATAATAGAAGCAACATACAGCCGACAGCTAACATCAAATTATATGGAGAGACACTCAAAGCGATTCTACTAAAATCAGGAACACGACAAGGCTTTCCACTGTCTCCATACCTCTTCAACATAGTTCTTGAAGTTTTAGCAATAGCAATAAGACAACATAAGGAGATCAAGATGACAAAAGGAGATAAAAATTCAAATTAGAAAGGAAAAAGTCAAACTTTCAGTATTTGCAGGTTATATGATAGGGTACATAAGTGACCCCAAAACTCTATCAGAGACAACCTACAACTTATAAATACCTTCAGTGATGTGTCAAGTTACAAGATCAACTCAAAAAAAAAAATCAGTAGCCTTCCTATACACAAAGGATAGAGAAGCAGAGAGGGAAATAAGAGAAACTTCACCTTTTACGATAGCCACAAATAGCATAAAGTATCTTGGGGTAACACTAACCAAAGCAGTAAAAGACCCTTTATTAGCCAATGACCTTCCTCCATCAAAGACCTATTTGACAAGAACTTTAAGTCTTTGAAGAAAGAAATTGAAGAGGATACCAGAAAATGGAAAGATCTCTCATGCTCCTGGATTGGTAGAATCAATGTAGTAAAAATGGCAATCCTACCAAAGGCAATGTATAAATTCAATACAATCCCAATCAAAATCCCAACAAAATTCTTCACAGACCTTGAGAGAACAATAATCAACTCTATATGGAAAAACAAAAAAAAAACAGGATAGCCAAAACAATTCTATACAATAAAGGAACTTCTGGAGGTATTAGTATCCCTGACATCAAACTCTATTACAGCGCTACAGTAACAAAAACAGCTTGGTATTGGCATAAAAACGGAGACATTGACCAATGGAATCAAATTGAAGACCTGGATATTAATCCACACACCTATGAACATCTGATTTTTGAAAAGGAAGCTAAAATTATACAATGGAAGAAAATAAGCAACTTCAATAAATGGTGCTGGCATAACTGAATTCAACAGGTAGAAGAATGAAAATAGATCCTTATCTATCACCATGCACAAAACTCAAGTCCAAATGAATTAAAGACCTTAATACAAATCCGACCACGCTGAACTTGATAGAAGGAGAAGTGGGAAGTAGCCTTCAATGCATGTGCACAGGAGACCACTTTCTACGTATAACCCCCATAGCACAGACAATAAGAGCAACAATGAATAAATGGGACCTCCTGAAACTGAGAAGCTTCTGTAAAGCAAAGGACACAGTCATTAAGGCAAAAAGGCAACCTGCTGAATCAGAGATCTTTACCAACCCCACATCAAAGGTCTGATCTCCAAAATATATTTTAAAAAACTCAAGGAACTAGACATTAAAATTCTAAATAACCCAATTAAAAAGTGGGGTACTGAACTGAACAGAGAATTCTCAACAGAACAATTTCAAATGGCCAAAAGATACTTAAGGATATGTTCAACTTCCTTAGCTATCAGGGAAATGCAAATCAAAACAACTTTGAGATAACATCTTACACCTGTCAGAATGGCTAAAATCAAAAACACCAATGATAGCTTATATTGGAGAGGATGTGGAGTAAGGGAAACACCCATCCATTGCTGGTGGGAATGCAAACTGTGCAACCACTTTGGAAATCAGTGTGATGGTTTTTCAGAAAATTAGGAGTCAAACTACCTCAGGATCCATCAATACCACTCTTGGGAATATACCCAAGAGATGCCCAATCATACTACAAAAGCATTTGCTCAACAATGTTCATAGCAGTACTATTTATAATAGCCAGAACCTGGAAACAACCTAGGTGCCCCTAATGGAAGAATGGATAAAAAAGTGTGGCATATCTACATATTAGAGTACTACTCAGTGGTAAAAACCAATGACACCCTAAATTTTGCATGCAAATGGATGGAAGTAGAAAACTGTATCCTAAATGAAATAACCCAGACCCAAAAATATCAATATGGTATTTACTCACTCATTAGTGGATGCTAATAATCATAAACAAAGGACATTGATCCCAGAGAAGCTAAGTAATAAGGTGAACTCAAAGTAAAACATATATAGATTCGCTTGGAAATTAGAAGCAGACAAGATCGCCAGGCAAAAGTTGGGAGCATGGAGGCGGCGGGCGGGGAGGTTTAGAGGGAAGGGGAGAGAGGCAAGGAGAGGGGAGAAGGGGAGTGTTGGGGAGAGCTTGGGGGGGATGGTTGAGATGGAGGAAGGACGGATATGGGAGCAGGGAAGGAAATATATTAATTGAGGGAGCCATTTTGGGGTTGGCAAGAGGCTTGGCTCTAGAGGGGTTCCCAGGATTCCATGGGGATGTCCCCAGCTAGGACCCTGGGCAGTGGAGGAGTGGGTGCCTGAACTGGCCTTATCCTGTTGTCAGACTGATGACTATCTTGAATATCACCATAGAACCTTCATCCAGCAATGAATGGAGACAGAGACCTACATGGGAGCACTGGACTGAGCTCCCAAGGTCCAGTTGAAAAGCAGAAGGAGGAAGAAGTGAGCAAGGAAATCAGGACCACAAGAGGTTGGTCCACCCACTGAGACAGTGTGCCTGACTTAATGGGAGCTCACCAAAGCCAGCTGGACTGGGAATGAATGAGCAAGGAATCAAACTGAACCCTCTGAATGTGGTTGACAATTGGGGTAGACTGAGGGGCCAATGATAATGGCACTGGGATTTTTCTCTACACATGTACTGGCTTTTTGAGATCCTATTCTCTTTGGATGCATACCATCCTAAGCCTGGATGTAGGGGGGAGGACCTAGGACTTTCCACAGGGCAGGGTGCCTTATCCTCTTTTAAAACTGGAGGGGGGTGGGTGGGAGAGTGGGTGGAGGAGCTGGAGGGAAGTGGAAGGAGGGGAAGAAGTGGGAATTTTGATTGGTATTATTTAATAAAGAAACAACAACAAGTTGTTAGCATGCTACCTTCCCTAGTACTGTTGCTGTTTTCTTGGAGACTTTTGTACTGGCCCCTTGTGTGAAATAAGGCACATGTCAACTAGACTTTAGATTGGATTCAACCCTGAATAATACTTTCCAATCAGTTCTGTTGTCATTCATTCTGAAGTACAACCACTAAGGGCATAGTTGAAAACATATATGAAGAAGGAAGTTGGGGTCTGGACCAGTACTACTTTCCCATTCTGTGCACAGAATGGGTAGGGAGTAGTGTACCCTTCAGGTAGTGACTATAATGCTAAAATCTCTGACAACCTCTGTCAATGAGATTCCTGATGTGAAAGTCCTCAGGAAACCTGAGACCTGGGCTTATTAATGATAGCCACACAGAGCCGTGAGGCTCAGCTGGTCATCACTGGGTGAGGAAGGGTCAGGGTCACTATAGATCTGAATCAGAGCCAAACTCAGGATTTCTTTTTTTTCTTTGTAAAACCGTAGTTCTTGTCCTGACTTCCTGGCTTCCTCCAGCTGCCCCAGGGCTGCACGTAGCTCTTGAGAGAGAATTCCTGGGGACTCGCGCTCCTTCATGATCCAGTCCAGGGCCATGTGGCTGCGCATCTTTTCATCTAAAGAATATTGGGAATAATAGGAGATGACTTCCTAGAATCAAGAAACAAAAGTTCAGAGTGTCAATAGACAGAAACAAAGGCACATGTGTGCAAGGCCATCCATACTTCCCAGTCAGTTATGTGGCCTTTAAATAACACTAACTTTCAAAATCTGAAACCAAATCCCGTTGACATATTTCTGAAAAGGAAATAATGAACACATCTAGTCCTGCAAAGCCTGTCCCTCCAGGCTGAGTCAAAACCTAACACTAGGGATAGCAATAATGTTCACAAAAATATATTTCTATAACAACATATAAATATGATTTCATTCATTTCACTGGACCCTTGGGCCCAACCAGGACTACTGGCTATAACAAGACAGAGGGAGGAAAGGAGTAACATAGTCTAGCTGAGGCAGAATGAGATTAGGACATACCTATTACAGGAAAGAGGAAGCCTTCAGTCAAGGGGACTTTAGAACACTTTGAAACCCAACTATTTTCTAGATGTGCTTTGTTGTTGGAACACAGCTCAAGAGTAGAGTGCTGTGAGGAGAATTTTGAGTGCTTGTGAGAAAACACCAAGAAAACAGACAAGAGTCTTGTGACCTCAGTTTCTTCAAAAACACAAAACTGTTCTTGGAATGTGTTTTCATGCGCCTCCCAGGTGTACCAGTTGGGAGTGAGTTTACTTCAGATTACGCATTACTACTGGCTATTGCCTCTATGTGAAGGCGTAAGTCATAAACAATGCCACACCAGTTTGGAATTATGATTAATAGGGTGGTATTTATTTAAAGGGGAAAAAATGTACAGACCACCGTCAGCCCTCTGCGCAACCAGGAAGGGAGTCTAGTCGCCTGTGGAGCAGGAAGTGAAGAGAGAGAGGAGAGGGAAGTGGCCGCTTTTTTAAAGGGAGAGAGACCACGCCCCAATGGGCTGGTATCTCAGCGGTGATAGGCTGGAGGAGTGGGAGGACCTCCCGTAACATCTATGGAAAAATGCTTTTGCCATATGAAACTTGTCCACCATGTGCAGATTGCCCTTGTGATTATACACTTAACCCTCAGAGTATAAATTGGTAGATGCTCCAAATACAGTAGACTGTTACATAAGACTAGTATGTCTCATTTTTGGCTCCCAGAGCCCACTGCCTGTAGAGTGGTAAAGACTTTTAGCATAAGGAAGATAAATATCAATATGGTTCACAATAAGCATAGAAAGAACTTCCAAAATGTACTGTAGAATGGAGGCATTATCATTATTGGTATTACATTAATACTTTTGTGATGCCCTAGTTTTTACTTTTGCAAATAATTAAAAATTAACTACTTTCATTTCTTCTGTGAAAAATATCAATCCATCATGCTGTCATATATATGTTTGATCATGAGGAATGGATGCTTTGCTTATTTTTATTTTCATCAGGAACATATGGTATTTATTTATGACCTTAACAAATTAAAAACAATCATGGAAAAGTGTTTATGACCAACCCAACATATTTCAAAGGACTTTCAAAAATCAAAGGAAAGGGGAATAATTGCCAAAGCCATTGTCAGCTACTCTTTCTTTTCCATTTTTGACATTTTGAAAGCCAGACTCTCTGAGCAAAGAACAACTAAAAATTACTGGGCCTGCAGTGCCTCCACTCTCCTCTTACTGTAGCATCTTAGTTTTTCATACAAATTCTTATTAGGAAATTTTCAAAAATAAACTATTATCTTTTAAGTTCTAATTATGAATAAGGAAAGGATAAATCTCAGAGGACAACAAGAAAAAAGTGTTAAACACACAGGATAAAGTTTACGCTTAGTATTAGAAAGAAGAACGGTTCCTATTGTAAGTAATGAAGGAATACGGGGAACTTGCCTTTGGAAAAGAAAGAGAAAACTTCTAAACCAAAAAAAAATTAAGGTTACTAAATGCCAGTGTGTCCAACTTAATGATTCTTTTTATTGCTTTTGAGGAACTTTTGTTGTAACAATTCTGTCTGTCTTTAGTGAGGAGGTTTTAGAAACCAATTATTCTCTTTCTTTCTATACTGGAGAGTGCAGCAGAGGACAGTTCCAAGGTAGGCAGGGTCGAGAGATGCACAAGGAGAGTTCAGTACTTCACTTAGAATCCAACACTGTCGTTACGGTTGCTTCATTCTTCATTCACTATAGTAGGTGTTCTAATCAACCCTCGCAGAGCCAACATTCTTAGTGTGTGGCAGTCCGTGACTCAATATTTCTTCACTCGTCCCTGCTCTTACTTAATAGGCAAATATAAATTTAAAACAAAGAAATGCACAATCAGTTTCAGTCGATATATTTACACAAACAGAAGCATCCGAATAAAGGAAGCCTCTTCAAAGTCTGGAAACTCCTTGTCTTGTCCTCAAAGCACCAACCTGTTTCAACCAGAAAGTCTCACCTGTCGAGAGCACTTTGTTTCACGGAGGGCTTTCAGGCTTCCATTCCAGTGCAATAGTTGGAAAATGGTCATCAGTTCCTAGAAAATCAAATGTCTGTCATTGATCTTAAAGCAAAAACACAAGTCAGAAATAGCTGATTAGACTTAAGTCTGGTCCCGAAGAAACAAAGGCAACAAAGTGTCTGTCAGAAACTTTGGGACTGTCCAAAGGACAGAGCACTAATGCCCCTGAAGAAGTTCCTCCCTTCCCCTGCTTTATCTTGCATTCAATACAAAACTACTAAATAGTTGACAAATGTCTTTCAACAGTAAAAATACACACATTAAAGTAATTGTACACCCCAAAAGTAACTTAAGTATGTCAGAAAATAAGAGAAATAACTTACAAAGTTATACATACATTGTATCATTTTTTAATTGCCAGAGACTGGAAACATTTTAAATGTTCATATTTAAAGAACAACTAAAGTATGATACATCCATATTACTGAACACTGAATATGTAGTGATATGGGAGGTGATGTATGCTGTGAATATGTTTTATTGCCATTGGTTAATAAAAAAGTGTCTTTTGGCCAATGGCTTAACAGAGTAGAGCCAGACTGAAAGATATACAGAGAGAGAGTAGACAGAGTCAGTGAGAAGACTTGTAGCCCCGCCAGAGACAGACACTGGACGTCAGATGGAATTTTACCTGGAAAACCACAGCCATGTGACGATATAAAGATTAACAGATGGTAAGTTTAAGATATAAGAGCTAGCTAAAACTATGTTTAAGCTATTGGCCAAACAGTATTGCAAATAATACAATTTCTGTGTAGTTATTTCTAGTCTGGGCAGCCAGAAACAAATGAGCAGTCTCTGACAACAGTAAAGAATGTTCACACCCTCTAATCTGTAATACAAAGAAATCTATGGCATATTGTTAAAATAATCGAAAAGCACACAACCAACAGTGTGTACTTTATGTTTTATTCTAAAAGAATGAAAGATTACTATATACACATTTGCTTGTAAATGGCTAGAAGAATTCTTACAAGATACAACAGACTAACAAGAAGAAACCTGACTGTAGAGAAATTTCCAGAAATCAACAAGGATGACCCCAGATAAGACCCTAAGCAATAGAGGAGAGGGACCCCAATCTTGACTTGTCCTGTAGTCAAACTGATGAATATCTTAAATGTCACCATAAAACCTTCATCCAGCAACTGATGGAAACAGAGGCAAGAGACCAACATTGGAGCACTGGACTGAGCTCCCAAAGTCCAGTTGAAGAGTGAGAGGAATGAGAATATGAGAAAAGGGGTCAAGATCATGATGGGTACACCCACTGAAACAGTTTACCTGAGCTAATGGGAGCTCCCCAATTCCAGCAGGACTGGGAAGGAACAAGCATAGGACCAAACTAGTTCCTCTGAATGTGGTTGACAGTTTCATGGCTGGGGCAGACTGCGGGGCCACTGGCAATGGCACCAGGATTTATCCCTACTGCATGTATTGGCCTTTTGGAAACCTATTCTCTTTGGATGATACCTTGCTCAGCCTATATACAGAAGGGAGGGCCTTAGGCCTTCCCCAAAGCAATGTGCCTTACCCTCTCTGAGGATTGGATGGGGATGCATGGGAGAGTGTGTGGAGGGAATGGGAGGAGCGGAGGGAGTGGGAACTTGGATTAGTATGTATAATGAGAAAAGATAGTTTGTTCTCTTTAAAACAAACAAAGAAACAGATTAAACATTTAAATATAGGACCTGAAACTCCAAAACCACTGGAAAATAACATAAGGAAAATGTTTCTTGAACCATGATATTTTCAGCTGTGAACCCAGAAGCAGTAGAACAAAAACAAAATTAGATAAACAATATTGCATCAAAGTAAAATGTTTCCACATAGTAAAGGAAACAATCAAAGGAATTAAATAGTAACCTATAGGAAAGATGTTTGTAACCACACAACTCACAAAGACTTAATACCCACAAAATATTAGTAGCACAAACAACAAAAGAAGTAAAAAACAAAATTCAATGGCATTTAAATGGGCACATGTCTTGAATGAAATTTTACTAATAAAGTCATAATAAATAAATGATACAACAGAACCTGATAATAGAGTCTGAAAGTCTCACTTGGTGGTAGAGCATGTACTTAGCATACATGAGACCCAACATGTCTGACTTAGAGATAAGAGTGAGAAGAATTCTCTCCAGCATTCTGGGGAAAATGTATTGGGTTTTAAGTCATGTAACTAAGTGGCATTAAAGAAAACAACTGAGCCGGGCGGTGGTGGTGTACGCCTTTAATCCCAATACTCAGGAGGCAGAAGCAGGTGGATCTCTGTGAGTTTGAGGCCAGTCTGGTCTACAAGCGCTAGTTCTAGGACAGGCTTTAAAAACTACAGCAAAACCCTAAGCCCTGTCTCAAAAAAAGAAAGAAAGAAAGAAAGAAAGAAAGAGAAAAAAGAATACAACTGAAATTTTTAAGAATGTAAACTGAAATATATATATATATATATTACTAAGCAAAATTTATAGTTGTCCATTTGCTTTGAACCAGCTCCTTCCAATACATGACTCAAAATGGACCAAACCGAAGTAGACTCACTCATACTAAAGTTCCATATCAGCAAGCTGAAATAAATTATTTACCTGACTTTTTCAGGATGTAGGAAAGAAAGGGAGATGGGAGGAGGGAGGAGGAAAGATGTAGTAGGAAGCCATTTATTTGTTCCCGACTGCCAAGACTCAAAATAACCACTCAGAAACTATATTACTTAAATCACTTAAGTGCATTGCTAGGTAGTTCTTATATCTTTGGTTAATCCATTTCTATTAATCTATGTATCGCCAAGTGACTGTGGTTTACTGGCAAGGTTTCGGTGCATCTGTCCCTGGTGGTGACTACATGACTTCTCCTGACTCTCTCTCTCTCTCTCTCTCTATATATATATATATATATATATATATATATATATATATAATCTTCCAGCCTGTCTATGTTCTGTTAAGCCATTGGCCGAGAGCAGCTACTTTATTCATTAACCAGTAAAAGCAATACATATACAGAACTTCCCACACAGAAAGAGAGAAGGGGGGGATAAAAGTGGAGAGAGAGAGACAGATAGAGACAGAGACAAAGAGACAATAGAGAAAGGGGGTGGGGGGAGAGGGAGGGAGAATTTTAGCCAGCATAAAAAGAGAGGCAAGTCCCTCCGCTTTAAAAATGCCTTGAAATGTGGATGGTGTGGTTGAATTCACCTTAAAACAAATGAAGGTTCCACATTCTGCTCTTTAGCCCTGAGTGAGCAAAACTTATCCACTCTATCCCCATTTCCCTGCCTGATCTAGGACCAGCAAGCTGAACATTTCCATTTTCCTAAAGGTCACAGCTAGCTGAAATTATTTTGTTTCACCTATTCAGGGATTCCTGTTTTTGCTCTTGCTTTTTTTTAAAGCTTGATGTCAATTATGAATTAATACCATAAAACACAACCATATAATCCCTATCACAAGTCCTATTTTATGGAAAATAACTCCATAAAACTACAGAACTTTCTGCTTATAAAAATAGTTATGAAAACTTAGCTTCTAGACAAATGTCCTATTGACTATTCATATATTCAAAACAACAGTCTCTTACTGTCTTTACTTCTATTTGCTCATGAACATGTTTTTCTTCTGAAAGCCCAGAGATGTGTAGTCTTAGGCTGCAGGCATGTTAAAATTATCTTGTGATTTTAGAACTGTAGGGTTATCAGAGGATAGGGCAGCTCTAAAGCTTCTATTATGGGTTAGTGCTGCTACTTTGTATCCCAAGATCCAGTTGGCACCTCCAGACACTGAGCTAGTAGTAAAAGCAAAACCATTTGTTTCCACCAATTAAAATCAACACAAATATTAAACAAGTTGTTCCTTCCACACCAAACAAAGACCCCACTGTCCAGCATCCCAAGTCAAATGCCCAGCGACTTGCCCTATCACAGTCCTCTAGTTCCCTACTGCTCTAGTTTGTCTAAAAAAGTACTTCCTCCTTAGTGTGGCTCTGGTTCTTATATATTTTAAGGGAAGGTGACCTCCTTCTCATCATCCTCATACATTCTATCCCAGTCGAGTCCTTGCTCTGCTCTGTAGAAACACTTGTTATCATATAAGTATACCTAACTATTTATCCATACTTCTTATCTCACTTCTTTATTTCCCTTCTCCAGACCAAATTCTTTCAGTAGTTGTTGTTCTGTTTGCTTGTTAGTTTGTTTTGAGATGAGCTCTATACAGTTCTGGCTGTCCTGGAACCCACTACGCAGACCAGCTTGGCCTTGAACTCAGAAATCTTCCCACCTCTTCTTTCCAAGTGCTCCTTAAAGGAGGTTTCACAACATCCTGAGTTCTTGTGATTTGGCGCTTAAACCAATGCTTCTATGCCCTGTCAGACTTGAAGGAAAATCCATGCAATTATTATAGAGGACGTCTGTAAGGAATTGTTTTCTAGTTTCACTGGATTCCTGTTGCCTGGTTTTAACCCTGGCTTTGTAACTTATCAACCCATGTCCTGTATAGAAACTTGCAGTTACCTACTCTATGATGATTTTTTTTCTGCTCTTCTGTTGTGAAGTTTGTTAAATAAACTAATTTTGAAGTCTAGAGAGCCTGCCTGGCTGAACTGAAAGGAAAGTGAGAAGGCAGCTTGTTAGGGTGAGGTATGTGAGGCAAGATTTAACTGATTCGTGAGTGTTAAGGATCTTTAAAAAATTAGTATTTTGTGCCAGGCATTATAGCACACATGGTCAACTCCAATACTGGGAGGCAGCAACAGGCTCAAGGCAAGTCTGGACTACCTACTGAAACCTAACTTTGTCTTTTGTATTTTGTTTATTAAGAGAGACTTTTACACTTATTTTGAGCTTTAAAAATATTGTAGTATAATATTTTGTCTCTTAATCACTGAGCTTTTAAAAGCATCTTTCAATTTTGTGCCAAGACAGATGCATTGCTTTCCTCTCTTTGTCTAGGACCTTCTGGATCTGTCCTGGCATCAAGCCTAGCTTCTCACTTGTGAGGTCTCTGCAGCCCTGAAGGCAC